ATTCTTCAGGGCCTTATATAAACTGATAGTTTTTACAGCTTTTCGGTTTTTTTTAAGTCCATCCAACGTGTTAAAATAAAATTTCAATTCCAACTTAAACTGGCATATATTAGGCTTCTTTGAGGACCATTTGCATTTGTGAACATAAAATTTACCATATAAAATAAACAGATTTAAAATAAAAACATAATTACCATTTACCGTATTTGCCGGCGTATAAGACGACTTTTTCCCCCTGAAAAACATGCCTCCAAGTGGGGGGGTCATCTTATACGCCGGGTGCACTTCAGTTGGGATAGACATAGCTGCCCATAGTGGCCTCCCGATGCCCGCCCGGTGCCCATAGTGGTCTCCCGATGCCCGCCCGGTGCCCATAGTGGCCTCCCGATGCCCGCCCGGTGCCCATAGTGGCCTCCTGATGACAGGGGTGCCAGCCTTTTCGGCGTGACCGGCCCGTTCTGCTCGGCGGGAAGCAGCGGCGCTCCGGCCCGCCGCTTGTCTACGCAGAGCTCGCACATGCGCACTAGTGCCGGTCACAAGGAGATGCAGGGGCGGGCCGGAGGTGCTGCGGTCGCGCTGCGGCCGTACAATGGTGACAATGACAGGTACTGTAATGGCACTAATACTAATACTAATGGCACTCATGTAATACCGGTATAATACCGGTAACAATAATAGCACACAGGGGTGTGCAGAAGAGGAGGTAGTCTTATACGGCGACTATATAACAAACTCTATATTTTGAGTGGAAATGTTGGGGGGTCGTCTTATACGCCCAGTCGTCTTATACGTTGGCAAATACAATAAGTTGTTTTTCCCATAATACAATAGGATATCTTTCCTATCTAAAAAATTTTTACAACCAGACAATGTTTCAAACGGATGTTCTATCTCAATCCAAAAGTATCTGACATGTAAACAATCATAAAACAAGTGCGGGATGGTTTCTGTACAGATACCACAAAAGGAACAAAGATCAGATATTTCATTTCTGTATTTCTTTAACTGTGTGTTTGTTCGATTATTTCAATTAATTGGTTTTCCATTATTTCTTATGGGAAAAATTCGATCAGAACTCGAACTTTTTAGGATTCGATCTGGAGGCCGGAACGGATTAAGTTCGAGAACCGAGGTACCACTGTACTCAGCCATATAGTCAGGTATAGAGACATTTGTGAAAGAATGGCTCGTTCTGAAGAGCTCAGTGAATTCAAACATGGTACTGTCATAGAATGCCACCTTTCCAATAAGCCAGTTTGTGAAATTTCTACCTGGCTAGATATTTCACGGCCAACTGTAAGTGGTGTTATTGAACAGTGGAAGCACTGAGGAACAACAGAAACTCAGAACATATAATGTAACAGAGTGGGGTCACTGAGTGCTGAGCTGCATAGTGCGTAAAAGTCACGAACGCTCTGTTGACTAAATAACTGCAGAGTTCCAGACTTCCTCTGGTATTACCACCAGCACAAAAACTGGCCGAGCAGCTTCATCCAAGCCTCACATCACCAAGCGCAATGTCAAGCGTCGGATGGAGTTGTGTAAAGCACTCCGCCACTGAACTCTGGAACAGCAGAACCATGTTCTGTGGAGTGACGAATCACGTTTCTCTGTTTGGCAATCTGATGGATGAGTCTAGGTTTGGTAGGTGCCAGGAGAACATTACCTGCCTGACTGTATTATGCCAACTGTAAAGTTTGGTGGAGGAGGGATAATGGTATGGGGTTGTTTTTTAGGGGTTCAGCTAGGCCCTTTGTTCCAGTGAAGGGGACTCAATGTTTCAGAATAGCAAGACATTTTGGACAATTATATGCGTCCAACTTTGTGGGCAAGGCCCTCTTCTGTTCCAGCATAACTGTGCCCCGGTGCACAAAGCAAGGTCCAAAAGACATGGTTGGGTTAGTTTGGTGTGGAAGAACTTCAACCCCATCGAACACCTTTGGGACAAACTAGAGCAGAGATTGTGAGCCAACATCAGTGCCAGACCTCACAAATGCTCTTCTGGATGAATGGGCAAAAATTCCCACAGATATACTCCAAAATCTTGTGGAAAGCCTTCCAGAAGAGTGGCAGCTGTTATAGCTGCAAATGGGAGACCAACTCCATATTGGTACTTTTTGATTTAGAGTGCCATTCATGTCATAAAACTTCCTGTAAATGTAACCTAATGGTCAGGTGTCCCAATACTTTTGTCCTTACAGTATACGAGAAATAAGAAATGTTTGTTTCATTCGTAGCTGCTGTTAAAAGTCACATCACCCTTCTTGGGTTTACAATTTACCATGGGACCACTGAAGCCCACTTCAGTGATACAAAAAAGATAGGAAGAGGCATGCAGGTGGTTTCTCACTATTAATCCCAAACGACAGTCCATCTGGAGAAGAGGGAGACACTGCTGATTTACTACTGATGGAGAAACAAATCAAGGGACAAAAAAAAAACGTAGGCACTAAATGGTTATAAAATACACAATAAGGCTGCATGACGCTATACATGACAGTATATACAGTAGGCCTGCAAAACAAGCAGATAACATGCGAAAAAGGACAAACCAGCTCTCAAAATTAACCGCCCACATTAGAATATATTTTAAATACTATTAGCACTTAAATTACTTCAGTCATATGTTGATTCCTCTATCATTAATTCTACTACGCCATATTAACTTATCGAAAAGCTAAAATACTCACCAGCACTGCAACTGGCATATAATACCGATTTTTTTTCTCATTCACTTCAGGTCAGTTCATTTGAAAGTAGCTGGGTATTCTCCGGGAATTTCTACCTCCATGTTAAACCCCGTATAATAACCCACATACGTCATGCTTTGAAATGCGTCAGGCTTTCTCGTTCCTGTAACTGTAGATGTCGCCAAATGCGTGTAGCAAAATAAAATGGGTTCAGCTACAATAAATCAGATTGTGGGAGCAGAACACCAAGGCTG